CACAGGTGCATTCTGGGTGCCCCTCCTGGAAGACATTCTGGGAAATCTCCAGGAATTACCTGGAGGCTTCCTGGCACCAAATCACTCAGTGGGCTTTCCCCACTGTATTAGTACTTCTGTAGCTGGACTCCAGCAGGCAATGGAACTGACTCTGCGCATTCGATAAACTAAGGAGGAGTAGTGAGGGGGTAGTCCACTGCCTGCCAAGGAGAAAATGCATTTCTTCACAGACATATTTATTTGCTTTTCAGTGTTGTACTGCCCCCCCCCCCCCCCCCCCGCGCCCCCCGGTGGCCACGTAGACTTCGCTTGTTATTCTTGTTTGGTCTTTGCATCTGTTAATACATCTTCATTTTGTTGAATGGTAACCATATTCACTAAGTTTGTTATTACTGAATCTGTTAAATATCTTCATTATGTTGCATGCTAATTTACTACCCACCCTCTGCCTACATGTATGGACTGGTAAATTGCATTTCATTGTATCTGAGGAAGTGTGCGTGCACACAAAAACTGATACATTGAATAAAACTGTTGGTCTTAAAGGTGCCACTGGACTCACTTTGTTCTATATGGAGGAACTATTATTATTATTATTTTAAAAAAATATTGTACATGTATTGATATCAGTTGGCATTTATTTTGATCTTAATGCCATCTATTGCTTATGAATTAAGCACCAGAATTTCTGTCTTTTCCTCCCTAGTTCGTTCTGTAATCTTCTCTGCTATTCCGGTATCTTTTTGTTAAGTAGCATTCTTTGAAACATGAAGCAGTTATGTGAATCACTTTGAAACTAATATTGTATGTGGTTCTGTCTTACAGCATCTGATTTAATAAAATTGTAACTTTAAACATCATCTTAGATGATGGCATTATTAGGGCACAGCATTAAGGATTCTCAATGTGGGGGGAAAATGCCACAAGTTTAGTTTTTTGGTGGGTGTTTTTTTTCTTGTCTGTAGAACAAACACTTTATATACATTGCTATAGTTCTGTGAATGGGCAGGCACTCAAACTTTGCAAGTAGTAACATAAATTCTAGAAGCTTTCTTAACATATTATCTTCTGTAGTATTAAGCCAGCATCGTCTTCTGCCAGTCTAAAAATCAAATCTTTAATTGCTATTAACTCGTTCAAGGTACAAGAAAATGTGGCATTTCTAAAGTGCTCAATATATGAGAAGGGATGAGAAGTAATTTTAAGTAAACCAGCGTATGAAATACAGACAGAAATTTGTCAGTCTGGTGCTGCATTCTCACAGCAGAGGATAGGACTCGCAATAACGGGTTTAAATTAAGGGCAGGAAGATACCGGCTGGATCTTAGGGAAAACCTTTTTACAGTAAGAGTGGTACAACAGCGGAATCAGGGTGGTGGTGAGCTCCCCCTCACTGGCAGTCTTTAAGCAGCGGCTGGACAAACACTTGTCAGGGATGCTCTAGGCTGATCCTGCACTGAGCAGGGGGCTGGACTAGATGGCCTGTATGGCCCCTCCCAACTCTGTGATTCTAAGCAGCATCCAGGCCTGGGCTGTGACTGCACAGAGATGTGGCAGTAGTGGGCGGGGGCGGGGGGGGGCAGGAGCAGCATCTGCCCACACCTATCCCTGTTCAGGTCACAGCTGCCACTCCTCATTTTTCTCCCTTGTGCCTGTGCAAAAACACGGACAGGACAGTGGTTTTTGGCAGCCTCACTGTGGCCTGGAAACTCCCTTTTCCCTTCCTTACTGAGTTGCACTATAGCTCTACTGTGATCTGGGGAAGGAATAAAGGCACTTTAAAGGGTTAAGAAGGAGGCGGGGAGGGGAGAGTGTGTGGCAGTGAGCTGCCCCCTGCCATTTTGAAAGAAGAGCTTCGCTCCACCCCTTCCTTGTAGTGGTTATGGAGGGAGCATTCAAATGGATACTCTCCCAGCAGCTTCTCTTTTAAACTGGAGAAAATTAGGTTGTTATTTTCTCTACATTAAACAAGAAAAAAATGGGAACCAGACAAGCCACGCCTGGATTAGGCATGACTTGCCATTTACCACGATGGCGTCCTGCTGCCCATGTGGTGAAAAATCTCTATGTGTGGGCCCAGGTAGTCGGCTGAGTCTTGCCCTCACCTTTTGACAGTCAGTGTTTTTGAGTTCCTTGTTAACATGAAATGGGATCTAAAAGGTCAAATAAACTACTCTCCCTTGCACCTTGTTCGCCCTTTTCCCCCTCCCTACTTACTGGTGCGGCCTTATTTTCTTCCTTGTTTCTTTGGAGCAACAGAACCAGCTTGTCCATTAGTGCTGGTTCTTAGGTAGCTTGCTCATGATGCCAAGAAGGAGCTTCCCTCCAGGGGAAAAGTGTGCTCACTTCCTTTTCCTGGTTCCTTGTTGCAGCTGCTTCCCTGGCCTCCTAAAATACAGAGGAGATTGATTAGACCAGTTTACAAGCAGCTTCTCTTCTCGAAGTTCTGCTCTTAAGGGAGTCTTCACACTGTTTCTTAAAGGCGGCATGCAGTCATATGTAGGTATGGTGTACTGTAAAAACAGAAATTTGGGAAGAAAAAAAACCCCTACCTTAAAACATGCCCAAACACAGACAAGAACTTGAGAGCAAAGGAGAGGATGTATTTCTCACAAATGGTATCACAGTGGTATTGATTATCACAGGCATATTGCAGGAGTTTTGGTCATGCTTCTAAAAGCTTCTTCCAGCTTTCTGCTGGGTTACAAAACAGGTTTGACCAAGGCTGTGGTGGGTCACACAAAAGAAGAAGAAAGAAACGCACTTATCGCAGTCAAAAACAGCTGTATTGTTCTGCCTGCAAGATTTTGGAAATGTACTCTCTGTACACTGCCTAGGGAAAAGACCTCTTTAAATTTAATGACAGTGTTCTAGAGCCCTTGTTGAGCCAAATCATTGCCTTGGATCTTGAAATGAGAACGGTGCCTCAAAACAGTTTAAGGGCCAAACCTGTCTTGATGACATGGCTGCATGTAACATTACCTGTAAGGCAGCTGCTCCCTTGCAAAACATCCTTGGGAAACTGTGATTTGGGTCAGGTCAGAGTGAGTACTTCGTTCTTACCAGTCTTTCCCCGTTACCCCCTTGTCCTTTGCTGGTTTGGTGTTTTTTTTTTGTCCCTACAAGTCTTTGCATGGTAAACATAGGCCTGCAACTTGGGGGTGGGGGCAGGGAAAATGGGCTGTCTGAGAAAGGGCTAAGCTTCCTTGTCAAAGATGCTCTGCAAGGCGAAGTAACACTTGTTCTAAAATTACTTGATACTGTGCTGTAACATTTAATTTGGTCCCAAGTGCCGGAGATAACATCAGAGTGGTTTAATGCTGTCCTCCATACCCTTAATTTGCCAGCAGATTTTTATTTCCCTTCGAGAACATCATACAAGGTTCTCCATTCATACCTGATGGTTAAAAATGCCTGGATTTCAAACTTGAATGAAATCAATGTTTGGAATAATAAATATTCCTTTTGATCCAGAGAGAGCAAGTAAGGGCAGTCGTGTTTAAAGAAACAGAAGACTGCTACTGCTTGCCTCAATATTCTAGAAATACACAAACAGCCATTCCTTACTTCAGTAATTGTAGCACAGCAGAATGTCTCAAGGCTGTGATGAAAACACTTAATGAGAGATGGATTTATAGCTTTGTTTACCTACAAGTCAGACAGAGTGTGCTGAAAGTGCCTCTACCAGATTCCTCGGAAGCAGACAGCCATAAATCTCTTTGCTATTACAGTTTTCATTAAGGGAACATTTGTAGGGTTGCCTGGAGTGCTCAAAGTGTCTGTCAACTGCGGTGTTGTTAAAGACAGTTATCTAAAATTACGTTTTGGGAGAGGGTTGAATCAGTATCAGTCAAAATTATTCCTGTTTTTTTCTGACTTTCTAGGACTTTTGTAGACTTTTACATCGGGTGTAGTTCTCTATAATGCTAGTGGCACAGAATGCACCTATATATAATTAATTAAAAGCACACAGCTTAGCGTGCATGATTTCTGCATCTCCGCATCCTACCGTGAATATGTTTAATGGATATAAGCTGTGGCTGTTGCCAGTTTCTCACACAGAGCTGCATTGCCCTCTGCTGGGAAAACCTACTGCATTTTAACTTGGAATGAGGGGAAAGACATGGTGATAGTTTTGCTTTGAATTGTGAAGAACAGAGCTCTTAAGGGTGAGCAGATCAAGTGTGGCTGACCCATGAGCATGTATTTGCAAGCAAGACTATCAGGAAATCAAGCAGCAGGAGTAGCGGCCCAAGAGTCCTTTTAGACCGGGAACAGCCAAGTGGCAGGAATCACGAGGCGACCAGAAGCAGGTTTTCCCCTGTCCTAAAAGAGCTGTCAAGCTATTGCAATATGTGTTTACATGTAATGTGTATTTGGAGGGGGATCTTTGCATGAAAAAGATACTGCTGTGTTCAGAGAAATGATTTTCTGCCCTACGGTGAAGCTATCGAAATGTACTCTGTTCTAACTCTGTTGAAAATCATCATCTGTATGTCTACGTATATATGTATTTAGGCATGAACACCCCATTTTCCTCCCTGTACGGGTACTCAAATTGTCTTACCAAACAAATGTGCAGACACAGCCCAGTCAAACAAAAACATCTGCATGATGACGTTCCAGCATCCTGGGCCGGTTCTCATTTCTGTAGTTCGGCTTGCTCGGGACCACAGGCAACAAGCCATAGGCTCTTGGCAAAAACACACATCTCTGGCCATGCACAGAGCTAAGTATCTGCAACAGAGGAGGAACAGAAGAACAGCCCATGTCTTCAGCTGGTTAAAAGATGTTCTGACCTTCCTGCCCTCCAGTCTTACAGGATTGGACTTTGGAGTGGGGCAGAGGGTTCAGGATGGTGGGCCTTGCTACCTTTCTACCAATGAATATTTCACTTATAGTATGATTGTCATTGTTTTGGAGGGGGGTATGACCTTATGTGCCATCTCTCCCGTGTGCAAACTGTCTACATAATGATTTTCTTTACCTTAATAGATGACATGGCAGAACTCCTCCTTGGAGAATCCAAGCTAGAACTTTTCCTGAAGGAAAATCCTCTTAAGCAGGGTGCTAGTCCCTGTGGGCCCCGGCCAAAGTTAATTGAAGTCAGGAAGCATCTCACTGCAGCTCTTGACCGAGGGAATCTAAAGGTAATTGCTTCTTTTAAAGAAATAGCTGGAAGCTAACGGTTCATTTAGATTCATTTAGAACTTGAGTAAATACATGGTGTTGGCTCCCAAGGTCGTCTTCCACTGACAGAAGGCGCTTTCTCCAGCAGAGGGGGGGGGGACAGTTTTTACTGAATTTTTCCTAGCATTGCAGACCTTTACTTTGCCCCCCAGGATGTGCCTGAGGAGCCCCATCCCTCATGGGCATACTTTCTTGGTAGCTCAGTGGGCTGCAGTGGCGGGAGAAGATAAAAAGTTCTCTTAGTGGAGCTCAGCTGACGATACTTGAGTCCAACCCAGGGTTCCATAGGTTTGATATTGGCTTTGTAAGGGTTTGATCCCCCCCCTTCCTATGTTGAACTGTGAAATATGAAATGTGTGAAATGAAATAAGATTTCCTCTTGCTTTCAAAGTATTTTGAGTAGATATTTGGTCCTCAGTTGCCCTGTATTAAACTTCATTATAGATAATATTTGTCTGCCTGACAGCCAGGTTGCAACATTCTCACTATTCTGTCACTCTCTAGTGTGGCCAAGAAAAAGAATTCAGGCTGGACTATGCATAGAGAGGCCAGCTTTAGATGAAGGGTAGCTGTTAACTAGGGGTAGGGAACAGATTTAATTTCCACCCCAATAGTGGACCCCTTCTCCCTCTTCCAGAAGGGGGTAGTGATGGACAAGTTTCCCCCACTTTGCAGTGTTTATTTTGCCCCATTCTTCCCCCAAGAGGATCAGAGTAGTTATATGATTTCTCTCTTCATCTGTATTTGTCCTTATATGGACTCAGTGGCGCAGATCAGGCTGAGAAATGGTTCAATGTGCTTCAGGGCTGAACAGAGTTTTGAAGCAAGGTTTCATCTGCTCCAGTGTGGGAAGTTGTCTTGAGTATTCGGTGGACATGGGTTATTTCCTTTGCATCGTGTAACAAATGTGAAGGTTTGAGGAACAGAAGGGAAAAAGTGGGGTGTGTGTGTATGGGGGGGGTAAACCTACAACCCACTGAAACCCCTCACCCCTCCAAAATTGAGGGGGAAGTATATATATGTTCTCAAATGTTAATACATGAATAGCATTTAGAAAATGACCCTGTGTGAATGCTGATTGTTTAGTGAAGGATTTATATCATTGCTTTTTAAGAATAGATGTACTCTTTCCTACCCCCCTTTTGGCTTTTTAAAGTTTGCAAAAGTAACTGTTTTCAATTGGGGGGGTATGTTGATACTCAGATACTCAGGGTAGCAAATGAACCTCTGTTTAGACCTTTTAGCTATGTTTTTCTACCTCTTAGTGGGCATAATTTACTATCCTATAATGTGAATAGGTAAAAATGCTTGAGAGAGAAATCTGATTGTCCTTATGGGACCAAGTCACTCCAAGGAATTATCTGGTGCAATGTCCCCCCACTGTAAGACCATTAGAAATTTTCCTAGTGCAGGTCCAAATTAGGTATTGTCAGCCATGAAGTCCTCAACCACCTCAAATAAGGAGGCCTGAGTATGGATGATGAAGAACTTTCAAACCTGCTAGATCTTCCACCTGTTGGTCAGGTAGGGACACTGTGAGTTGAGTGACACCTTACAAAGTCCATGATGACTTTGGATCGGAGTTGGCAAGGTCTGGCAGATGTGAGCCCAAGTTCTGTACTGGGAACTCAGTTCCCAGGTGTGTGGGGGCTACTTTGGATTAGTACTATGGTATGCAGAGAAGAAGACGAAGAAAAAGAGACTGGATTTATACCCTGCCCTTCATCCGGAGTCTCAGAGCGATTTACAATCTCCTTTCCCTTCTCCTCCCTGCAACAGGCAACCTGTGAGGTAGTTGGGGCTGTGAGAGCTCTTTTGAGAGCTGCTCTTGTGAGAACAGCTCCGAGATAACTTGTGACTGATCCAAGCTCACACCAGCAGCTGCATGTGGAGGAGTGGGGAATGAAACCCAGTTATCTCCGGATTAGAGTCCACGCTCTTAACCACTACACCAAGAGAGAAGAGGCGTCCACCTTCCCTTTTCATTGTTTCCCCAATGCAGCATTTGCCCCATTTAGGAAATTTACATGTAGCTCATGAGTGCATGCAAGTTTCCCCAAGTTTCAAGTCCTGAAGATGGCCTGGGTGGGAAAGCTTCAAGCTCCTCCTTTCTACCTGCAACAGTCCTGATCTGAAATGGACTCCTGTGAGCCTGCGAATTAAGTTGCTAGAGGGGAACTCTCAAAACTAGTCTGCTGTGGACTTTGTAACCTGTGAACCTGGATAGATCGCAACAACATCCCTTTCCCAGCCTCTGTTTCAGAGCTCCCTGCCAGTGGTCTGATGCTCTTCCTGCTGCTTTGCTCCTCAGGTGGGGATTAGGATTTGTTTTTTTAAAGTAGCACCTGTTCTCTGGGGAACAGCTGTTGATTCAAAGCTCCCTGCTGTCTTTCTTGATATTTTTAAAATTTCCCGTATTCTATTTTGTTCAAGGTGGTGGTGTTGTTGTTTTTTTTAAAAAACTGTGGCTCGGTGTGTTATAAAAATCACAGAAGACTATTCAGTAAGCTCCTTTGTTTCCCTTATTTCCAACTGCTCTGTTGGCTCTGTGCCAATTCTGATCTGACATGAAAAAAAGGAATGTGGAGAAAGAGCTAAATAGAGGCTTGACTGCTCAGGCCGTGCATGAACGCAGGTAATATTTTGTGCTCTCAGATGAAATATCTGTAATTTTTCTTTTTTCTTTCTAGCCAGAGTTCTTACAAGAAGCCAATTTAGTGATGGCCAAATTAAACTATGTAGAAGGCGATTACAAAGAAGCCGTGAACACCTACGCAAGAGTGGGCATCGATGACTTACAGCTCGTTGCTGTAGCTCCTTATCGGCTGAGGATGATTGCCGAAGCATATTCTACCAAAGGTAACCTGGCTGTCAGTGCGCCTGCAGCTTCCTTTTCTCCTGTCAAATAAATTTGTATTACATAGCTGACCAAAATGGAATTTGTTCCCACTAGATTCTGTTAATAGTAGCAGTGTGGCAATTTATTTACTTGCTTTTTACCCCGTCTTTCTCCCTGATGGGGACCCAAACTGGCTCACATCATTTTCCTGTGAGGTGGGGTTAGGTGGAGAGTGTGTGACTGGTCAGCCAGCGATATCTCATGGCAGAGTGGGCATTCAGACCTGGGCCTCTAAGCAGTATGACCTCTAAGCTGAGTTAGCGTGAGCTAGCTCACAGTTTTTTAGCCTCCGGCTCACACATTTTTGTCATAGCTCAGGAAGGATGGCTCCAGAGCAAACTAATTTATGCAGTAGCCAAATGGCTCACTCACAACTTTCATGCCAGTAGCTCACAGAGCAGAATTTTTGCTCACAAGACTTCCACAGCTTAGAGGGCTCATTGGCCTCTAGCAGTTATTGTGGAGCGACTGTCTTTCCAGCAGAGTGAGGATTCATGCCGGGGTCTCTCAGATCCTCATGATGCTCTAATCGCTACACCGTACTGACTTAATGACTCAAAGCAATTCAAGATAGGAAAGCATCCCTAATACATGCATATATGTTTCCTTGGGATAACTAGACATTTATATCGTCTTCAGTTTAATCTTAATTCTCTTTGCCCAAAATCACCACGGTTGGTTCCTACAATCAAGGAAACTTAAATTGTGCAAAAAACCTCAAACCTCTTCACCACAAGTAGTGTACAAACTTTCACGAGATCACTTTGTCACTTTTGCAAACTGGGAAATTGCAACTTGTGATTTTCCAGCTCGTAGAAGAAGAGCAGCAAATTCTGTTGGTTTATTATTTATACAAGTGGATTGCTGATACGAGTAATACTTTTGTTCAGATCATCCCCTCAGTGATTTATAAGCTCTCCATTTTTGGAGATCATTAGAACCTGAAAACCTAGATGCATATTTAACTTGTGAAATATTTCAGTGACGTTCTAGAATTTTTCCTGGTTTGCTATTTTGAAGACCATGAGGATTATGGGCTTATTGCTGCTTTTTTCTGTAATGTGCAATCATAATAATGGCTCTGACAATTTGTGGTGTGTGTGGTAAAGACTGGCTTTGGTTGTGTGTGGTTGGAGGGGTTGTATTTGTATTGTAGAATGGTTAAACAGTTTGTAAACAAATATTGTGGTTTTGTTGTATACGTAAGAAAAAAGCATTGAAACGGAGACCATGTATCACATCCTGTTGGGACCAGCTGAAATATCAAAATATATGGTTTCAAGGTCTCCAGCACTCTTCCTCGTGCTGGATGGAGAGAAGAGAAGGAAAAGGTCATGTTCTCAAAAACTGTTGCCTGTGTCTTGTGCAGAATGTGCTGAAGACTCGATTAGACTAAGTGGTGCTGGGCGGAGCTAATAGAGTTACACCTGAGCCTTCTGGGAAGAAGAACATAAAAACCAGCCCGTAGTTGATGTCTCTTTAGTGCCAGAATAACATCCAAGTCCCTTACAAAGGCCAAGATGGAGATGACATTTTAGAAAAGATCACAAAAAGTTCTGTCCCAGGCTGTTTTTTAAAGCTTTTGTTTCGTAGGATTTTTCTCTGTCCTGCTTAGTGGATAGCTTCATTTCCAGTGACGTTCCTAGTCTGTGTTCTGTTTCTAGATGGAACAAAGCCTGGTAACATGTGGAGTGGGGGATATAGCTTGGAATATTTTTCATTACCCAGAAGTTAAAAGGAAAACTTGATGACCCCCCACTGCTGTATCCCTTTTCTACTAGATATGCTGATGACTGATACCATATATGATGATATATTTTCTGGAACATACCTTGATGTTCCCCTTTCCAAAAGTATCTGGCATGCCCCCCCCCCCCCCCCCCCCCACCTTTTTGTGAAGATAATGTACTCTGCATGGTACATGCAAGGTAAACAAGAACAAAATTAGATTTGCCTTTCCCATATTTACGTATGAAATCATGTAGTGCTGGTACAGTTCCTATAGGTGGCAGTGTCACCTCAGTGTCCGGCTGTTTTCTGTGCTATGCACGCATTGCATAAAAGCTGGGTCTGTGATTTGTTTTAAAGAGTGCAGCAGTGTGTGTGCCCTGGGACAGAGAATTTATTTATGCACAGTTGCCTCCTCTACTGTTTGGAATACCTTCTCTTGTATGGAAGAGTAATCAAACATCACATATGGTTTGTTTCTCTCCAGAAAGCAAAGTCGCAGTGGCAGCCTTGAGCTGGATTCTAAACAGTTTCTAAAATTAACCTAAGAGGAGACCAATAAGCTTCCAGTAGTTCTGTGTCTTGGAGAGTGTAGTTCTGCATTTAGAGGTGAAGAGGTTTTTTTCTGCCTCTCATGGTAAGAGTGGGAAACCTGCCAGGAATTGTCCCATATCAGAGAGGAATGAGTCTGAGTGGATGGCAGGAAGACAAAGTTACTTGAAATATAATTTAATCCCCTCTGTCCCCCAGAAGGTCTGGAAACAGGTTGAAGGGAACAGTATCATCCTCAAGAAGGTTGCTCAGGTTGGGTTAAAGGAAGGGGGGCGATGCATTTTTGCCTCGCTGTGTTGACCCGTTGCTTAGCCTTAGAATGCATTAAAAAAAAAGCCCTTGGTTCTAATAAATTATGACGGATTTTTGCATGGAGGATTCTGGGTGAGGGGGAATGATAAGAGCCTGCTGCTAAATAAAACTCAGGGGCTGGCTAAGGTTCAACTGCAGTAGGTAGTGACAGCTCTACATGGTTAGAAGTTATGGTTATATATTTAACATTGATAGTTATACCAGGGCTCTTTTTGTAGAAAAAGCCCAGCAGGAACTCATTAGCATAATAGGCCACACCCAGCACCAAAACCTCATTAGCCTATTAGGCCACGCCCCTGCCAGCACAGCTCATTAGCACATTAGGATGCACCCCCATGTTACCAGAAGTGTGGTCATCCAACCACACCCACCTTTTGCTTCTTATTCTCTTTACCTTGTTTGTTGTCAAAACCCAGGGCTTTTTTTTTGGAGCAGGAACTCCTTTGCATGTTAGGCCACACCCCCTAATTGTAGCCAATCCTAATGAGTTTCTGATGTTGGGTGTGGCCTGTTATGCTAATGAGTTCCTGCTGGGCGTGGCCAACTTGGGAGTCAGCCGGAACTCCGTTCCTGTGCGTTCCTGCCCAAAAATAGCCCTGGTTATACCTTATATCGTTGTATGTGTGCCTGTGGCGGGGTGGGGTGCGTGTGGCTCTTTTCGGTTGATAGTTATTGCGAATGTGGCTCTGTGTGGGCCACAGAGTCAGTACCGCTAAGTTAGGAGCGAATTTTCACACTCTGCTCCTGTGCTCTGTCTCCCAGCCTGCTAACCAGTTCGGTGTAGTGGCTAAGTGCATGGACTCTAATCTGGGAGAACCAGGTTTGATTCCCCACTCCTCCACTTGCAGCTGCTGGATGACCTTGGGCAAGCCACAGTTCTGTCAGAGCTGTTCTTGAAAAAGAGCAGTTTCTGTCAGATCTCTCTCAGCCCCACCTCCCTCACAGGGTGTCTGTTGTGGGGAGGGGAAGGGAAAGGAGATTGTAAGCCCCTCTGAGTGAAGGGCGGGGTATAAATCCAATCTCTTCTTCTCTTCTTCTAACCATCTCACTGCCCGGACACCACCATGGTACTATACTTGGCAGCTGGAATAGTGCTATGATGGTGATTCATGGCTCTGTGGCTCTTCTGGCCTTAAAAGGCCCCCAGCCTTTTGCTGCTGCATGTTGTATTTCCCACCTGGATGACTTATACTTTTAGGGAAGTTTTGCCTTCTTTTGTGTTTCAAAGAGATTCTATGATAGGTTCCTAATGGATATGACTGTGAACTAGCTTATAAATTCCTGGTGTTAAAAAAATCATTTGGGTCTTGTGCAGCTTTCTCTCCTCAAACCTATATTGTTTCCTTCCAGGCTAGGTAAGAGTAATGGATTGGTCTTAACAAGCATGTGTGCAAGCATTGCATGAAATTACATATTAGTTACATGTTTCAGAGGGGATCCAGGAAACTCTTTGAACCACCTTTTTCTAAACAGCAACTCTGCCAAATCACTTCTCTTTGGTGAAATAAAATCTATGCTCCTTGATCTCCCTTTTTTAACATACCCATACATATGGCTATGACATTAGTGACAACAGTCATGCGCACCATTGCACAGTTATAGTGCAACCAGTGTTCCCTCTAAGCTGAGTTAGTGTGAGCTAGCTCACAGTTTTTTAGCCTCCAGCTTGCACATTTTTGTCTTAGCTCAGGAAGGATGGCTCCAGAGCAAACTAATTTATGCAGTAGCCAAATCGCTCGCTCACAACTTTAATGCCAGCAGCTCGCAAAGTGGAATCCTTGCTCACAAGACTCCACAGCTTAGAGGGAACATTGAGTGCAACCCTAAGAAAATTTACTCCATTCTAAGTCCATTTTAGTCATTGGGGTTAGAAGAGTGCACTCTGTTCTTGGCCAGTGGGGAAAATGCTAGTTTATATTCCGTGTTCACACATCGTATCACAGTTTCTTAAAATGAAATGTCTTTGTTTTGCAGGTCTTTGTTTAGAGAAGTTGCCAATTTCCTCTTCAACTAGTAACCTCCATGCAGATCGTGAACAAGAAATCATTACATGTTATGAGAAGGCAGGGGATATAGCTCTTTTGTACCTTCAGGAGATAGAAAGGGTAAGCTGAGGTATCTGGACCATGTGTAACAGCTGATATTCTGTCACTTGTAAGGATTTCATAGAAAATCTATTTTTTATCTTACTCTGAACTCAATAAAGTGGTATAAAATTCCTGACTATTACTGCTAATAATAGTAATCCAAAAGGTGGCTTTGCCAGTAAAGTTTCCACAGAATAACTTCTGAAGACTGAGAAACTACACTCATTAGAGCCAGTTTGGTGTAGTGGTTAAGTGCACAGACTCTAATCTGGGAGAACCGGGTTTGATTCCCCACTCCTCCACTTGCACCTGCTGAATGACCTTGGGCAAGCCATAGTTCTGGCACAGCTGTTCTTGAAAAAGAGCAGTTTCTGTCAGAGCTCTCTCAGCCCCACCTACCTCACAGGCTGTCTGTTGTGGGGAGGGGAAGGGAAAGGAGTTGGTAAGCCGCTCTGAGACTCCCTTGGGTAGTGAAGGGCGGGGTATAAATCCAATCTCCTCCTCCTCCTCCTCCTCCTCTTCTTCTTCTTTAGTGGTTTTAAAAATTTGTTTATTTTCCATCTGTTTACACACACATGATAGTCTGTGAAGTAGAATCCTAAAGCTAGAAGGGGCCCAGATGGTTGTTCAGCATCTCTGCCACGTAGTGATCCTCCAGATGGCAACAGAGTCTTTCACTTCTGCATGCAAAGGTGAACCCATGAATCAGGTAGCACCAAGATATAGAGAACAGGAGTAGCAAAGCATGCTGGGTCAAGGACCCCACTCTCCCTGAGTATCTAGAAAGTGTGATCTCCGCAGTGGGTAGAACAACAGGTGAGGAATGACTGGAGTTTGAATGTAAACATGGCTGGAAAGGAAAAAGAATTAAAGCATCCTCACTATTGCTTATTTAATTAAACTCATGCTCTGCATTTTCATTTAAGGGGAATAAATTGTCTAGGGACTATGTAATATATTGCTTACTAGGCCCTGAGCACACAGGTGTAGCTACTGTTTGGGCTATTGCAGCTGAACAGGGGGTGTCATCTGAGGCCATAGTCACTGCCTGTCTCGCCCCCACACCTCTTACTGCCCGCCTACCTTACTGCCCCTCACTGTCCCAGAGCAGCTGACCCCCCCCCCTAACTTCCTCATTGACAGCAGCTTACCATGTATGCCCAATATGGCTGCCCAAGTTCAGTGCTGTGTTGAAGTGATACGGCAAAGAGTTTGTTTTTAAACTATTTGCAACATGCTTCTTGTATATGGGACTAAAGATGATAATTGAAAAAATACATGTTCTACTTGAAATGTTAATTACCCCTATTAAACTGAAAGGAAGGCTAGTTTTCCCCAGGAGTTCCATCAATAAAAATAGGGGGTTGTCTTCAATTTGTATACAAGTTATAGATATGTACGATAAATAAAAACATTTTTGTTTGAACACATGAACGCATGAAGTTGCCTTATTCTGAGTCAGACCCTCGGTCCATCAAGGTCAGTATTGTCCACTCAGACCGGCAGCAGCTCTCCAGGGTCTCAGGCAGTGGTCTTTCACATCACCTCCTACCTGATCCTTTTAACTGGAGAGGCCAGGGATTGAACCTGGGACCTTCTACATGCCAAGCAGACAGAGTGTTGGACTGGATGGGTCATTGGCCTGATCAAACATCGGCTTCACTTATGTTCTTATGTTCAAGCAGATGCTTTGCCAGTAAGCAACCATATCACATGTTTGGGCCCAAAAAAAACATTTTCCAAAAAACAACTGTCCTGCTCATCTTGGTGGTGGGAAGTGCTATCAAGTCACAGCCGACTTATGGTAACCCTATAAGATTTTCAAGGCAAGAGACCAGAGGTGGCTTTCCTGAAATTCCAGGAATAACAAAAAATTATCTTCTGGAATTTGTGGAACATTTTAGGGGTTTTAGGGGAAGCACAGAAGTGGGGAGAGAAAGAGCGGAAGTCAGCTGGGTTGAGGCCAAGATGTGGCCTCCACCTATGGCCCTTTACATTTTAAAGGGAAAGGGCCAAACTGACTTACCATGTTGACATCACCCCTGCTAGAGGTTTCTTCATGTCGCTGGCATCAGAGCCCACCCTCTCAGATGGGAAATGGTGGGCAGGCTTGGCAGGCTCTGGGACTTCTGCGAGGCTTGGCTGTCCTATTATGGGGGGGGGGGAGATTTAAAAACCAACAACTGGCAATTGAATTGTATTGGCAATATGTGTACCAGATTCTCTGAATTCCCAGCTTTCGTTTTTTTTAAAAAAGGCTCTAGTCCCTTCAGTTGTGGAGATAAAAATATTCCTTTATATATCCAGACACACATTCCACCTCAGTCATGTAGAAGTGACCATATGAAATGGTACAATTTCATGCTTTGTAAGAGGGCATTAGAGATTTTAGGTGGTCCTGGACAGAGAGAAAGAGAGAGAAACAGACAGACAAAGCTGTGCAGGACTAGCATGTGTTCTGCTTGCTTATGTTTACTGCAAAAATGTTTACTGCTTATGTTTACTGCAAAAATGCTGTACACAATGAAAAGCAGCAAAGCTATGATTCAATGTGGTCTTGATTTATTTTATTTAATTGTTTAGAAAAATGTTATGCTGCCTGTGGCAGAATGCACCTGCTCTGGCTTGCAGGCCCTATTCCGCCCTGCCCTCCTAGGTGTTTCTCCACACTTGGAAGGGCTTTTCTTTCACTATTGGGTAACTCTCCACCACCACCTGACCATTGTATGGAATTGCCCACTGGGAGGGTCAGGACTTCCAGCTTCCGTTCTAAGTTCTGAGGCCTTGCCTCTGTGTCTCCCAAGGCCCAGTGCCTGGTTGCCATGGGGACAGTCTTGGGCGCCATTTGCCAACTGCCTGTCTTCCCCCCACCGGCACTCCTTTTAAAATAGAATGTCTGAGATGGTGGAGGTCTATGTGGTACAGAGAACCATGGCCAGCATCCAAATTTATAAAGTGTTTATTTTTAAAAAGTTTACGCCCTGACCTGGATAGCCCAGGCAAGCCCAATCTCATCAGATCTTGGACACTAAACAGGGTCAACTCTGGCAAGTAGTTGGATGGGAGACCTCCAAGGAATACCAGAGGCAAGAGGTAGGGACAGGCTTTATTCAGCCACCTCTCTGAATATCTTCCAGGCCCCCAGTAGGGATCTATCACCAGTGGTTGCTATGACTTCCAGTGCACACACACGCACATATAAAAATACAAAAAGAAGAAAAGAAAACGTTTACAAACATACTTTTAGCACAACACCAAATTGAGCAAGGAAGACAAAAGAAATAGGTAAAACACAAGTCCTCTGTCTCTCTCTCTCCATACATGCCCTATCAGATGTTAAAATAGGACAGGCCCTTTAGCTTAGGAGTTTTAGATCTCTACAAAGTCCCAGTACCTTGAAGCTCTCTTGCAGACATCCCAGCCAACCACATGGTCAACGGCTGCCTTCCCTGAGGAGAGGTCTGAGTGCGCTCATGGGCACAGTGCCTAAGGAAAAGAGACCTCCTTCCTGTTTCAAGGGGATTTCATCATATCTGTTTCCCCACCTACTGACCTGCTTGAAGGGGGGGGGGAGCTTGGCCATCCTGTTGCCTCTAGCTGTTATAGCTCTAGCTCTGTTGTATTAACATCTGTATGAAGGTGAACTGAGGTGAGCCTGGAGAGCCACTGACAGACTTCCTCCTCTCCAGTCTGTTCTCTGCCCAAAGGAAACAACCTGTTCAAACACAAAGTGGAGGCTTTGCTCATCTCAAAACTCCCAGGGTAAAAAAGGCATTTCTTCACATCACCTCTCCAGGAATCTGTCGGAGAAGGCTTACAAAATAAAAAATAATAAAAGCAAAACATTAAAAGAGGTTAATTAAAATCCCACATTAAAAACCCAGTTCAGCATTAAAACATAGAACATAAAAACAGACCACTGATAGCTTAAAATAACAGGGTCCAGGGTAAAATAGTATTAAAAGTAAAAGCCTGGGTGACCAGAAACATTTTGGCCTGGGGCCTAGAAGAAAGCAACTGATTTTTGCCAAAAGCTACCTCAGCCATTGATTCATAAGCTGATGAATGAAGTTGCTCCGTCTTGACTTGTGCTTCACATCTAGAAAATGAGAACGAGTACCAAACTAGAGGTTAAGTTAAACATGGCAGTGCCTTTGAAAATACCAGTTACATTGCTTAGATCCCCCCATTTCCCCATCATAACATCAAATGGAGAAATCACGGTCGTAAGGTCATGACTTTCCCCCTCCCCCTCCACTTTACCAGCAGCAGTCAATGAGGTGGGCGGGGGGAGGAGAAAATCGTGAATTCCAGATGTGTGTATTCTAGATGATAAAGTAGCAGAAAGGGATTGCAGATGCTTGTTTATTAATCTACTTTGACCCATAAATAACCTGAGAACTGAGTGGAGGAATGCTCACTGAAGCCCCCTCTGCTGCCCAGCAAACAATTAGTGCTACTCACCTGAAGAGGGAAGGTGTGGCAGGGTTGTAGTTTGGGTTCTGGATTACATGGAATACTTTGGGAATCCATCTGCCCTCACTGGATAAGGGCATGAGCTCTGTATTTAAATGCATTTATATAAATGTAAGAATATAAGAGAAGCCAATGTTGGATCAGGCCAATG